AGCCCTTTGTTGGGCAGGAGGGAAGACCCTGGGCCCCTCTTCCAACTGGGTCACATGGTCTCTCTCTGTTCCCTCCCCTCCCTTTCTCTGGAGTCTTTTTTTTTTTTTTTTTATGGTGGTAGTGAATGTTTCTAAGGTCTCCCCATCTCTCCTCCTGCCCTGGCCTCCCTGCCAGGGGTGAGTGTCCTCTTCAGTGACAAAAGCCGCCCTAGATCTGGACTCCCTGGGGAGGGAGGTGGCTGGGTCTGGCAGTTGGAGCCGCTGTCTCTCCATGGTGCTGCTGCAGCCCCTCCCCCGCTGGGCACACAAATGGGCTTTATACAGCAAACAAAACCACCCTCCCACCCAGGCCACACAGGCACGTGGACCCAGGCCTCACCGTGGGAAGGGGGTGGTGACAGGCACTTCGGACAAGTTCTCTTCGTCTCACTTCTCATCTTTATTTTCCACAGCCCAGATTTTATTTAGTCCTTGACTTTCTACCCTCCACGTGCACCCTGAGCCTCCCAACTCCTCCCTGTGACCTGTCTCCTAACTCTGGGCTCGGCCTATTCCAGAGCTGCCCACATTCTGCAGGGGATTGGGAACAGGTCCTCCCAGCGTCTGTCCCCTACCACCCAGGGAGTTGCTCCTTGGAGGAGAAGCCAGCCCGAGAATGAGAAGCCAGTGTCCCACTGAAGGGGCTGGATCGGACCCCAAAGCCCTCCTTCCCTGTCCCCTCACACTCCAGGGGACACCCGTCTGAACAGTGTGAAAAGCGGAGGAAGGAAGACCTCACCCAGCTGGGCTCCTGAGCCCGGGCCAGGGCTCCTGTGAACCCCGCGGGGCAGGCAGGCGGGCTCTGAGCAGGGCCATCCTGCGTGCCTAATCGTCTATTTAAGGAGCTGTTGGCCAGCAACCTAGGCAGCCCCCCCTTCCCCACGTATACCCGTCCAGAGCCACCTTAAAAGCAGGAGGCAATTGTGAAGTCGCTGGCCAGCAAGTAGAGTGAAGACTGCAAAGGGAGATAAAAAAGAGAGGGCAGCGAGAGATTTTTTTCTGGGGACCCAGAAACCCACGGTACCCTACTGAAAACCAACTCCCCTGGAAGTCTGCAGAGACACAGACAGCAAGAGAAAAAGAGATACCTACCCTCCACTTCAGGAAAATTTCTCTCTCTCTCTCCCTCTCTCTCGCTCCCTCTCCCCCCACCCTGCCTGCCCTAGTCCTCTGCACTCCAAACTCCCAGTACCTTGTGCTTCTTCCGAGGACACCATGATGTTCTTCACGCTCCTGCTAGAGGTGATTTGGATCCTGGCTGCAGTCCGGGGTAGGTACATCTGGGTGTCTATGTGTCTGTGCTGATATCCACATGTCCTTATGCATGCTTAATGGGGGGAGGAGGAGTGTAAAAAGAAGCCTAGGGGGTTAGAAAAATAGGCTCGGGGATGGGGGAAAAGAGAGGCGTGGGGAGGAGACAACTTTTCTTTTCCCTTTGCCTTCCCAGCCCTGCTGTTAGCAGAGATGGGGGAGAGCTTGGTTGGGGGAGGGGGGTGCACACACACTGGGGAATCTCTGTGCAGGCTACAGACTCTCTCCAGAGCAAGCTCTCCACCGGCTGCAGCCCTCCTGGCCTTCTTTATTTACGAACTCCTCCAGTTAAGGAGCCAAAGAGGCCTGGAGTGAGGGGACAGAGGACTGATGGCGGGCCACCTGCCTAAGTCGGACCCTGACTCCCCACCTATGAGCCTCATGGTCAAGGTTCCCTCTTGAGTCTATGGGGCTTTCCCAGTTTTTCCCTGGAAGCAGCAGCAATAACAGTCAACATTCCTGGGCCCTTTACAGTTTACAAAGGACTTTCAGGCGCTTCCAGGAGATGAGGGACTTGGGGGGAAACAGGCCGAGGTGCTCCAGGAGCGTCCCCAGGACCCCAACCCCTTATTTTTGAGTTTCCTGTGCCTAGCACACAGTAGGTGTGTAATTAAGATTTGTTGGGAGAACAGGGTGAGGGGGGTGTCTAGAGGGGAAATGCAGAGAGGACAATGGGGGTAGGAAGCAAAATGAAGAGTTACAAATCGCCTCTGAGGAAAAAGAATAAAATAGGGAAAGAGTTTCAGGAAGAGACGCAGAATTACTGTGCTGTGGGTTTGGTGGGAGAGGAAGCACAAGACTGTCCTTGCAGAGAAGCAGGGAATTTGAGTTGTTGGGGTGTCCCACGATGGGGTGTCCCACTGAGCGGGTAACTGAAAATCTGCCTCCGGTCCTCCGTTGGGCTGCTTTGCAAAGTTGTCTGGACCGAGGATTGGGCCAGCCTCAGGTTGAGATCAAGGATACCTTAGAAGCCTGAGGAATTTAAGGGAATAAGAGAGAACGAGGAAGGAATTCAGGATTTTTTTCCGGGGTTTCTGGTAATTTGAATAATACAAAGAAAACCTGTGAGATGGCCAACCTGTCCCCTTGAAGCAGTTTGGCCCTGGGGGAGGGCTCCACCAGCAGACCCCCTGCCTCTCAGCCCCAGACAGGACTGCACGAGAACCTGGCATGTGACCCAGCTGGCAGCTCTCTTTTCCACACACAATGCTTCACTTTCATCCTGTCCCTGCCAGGCTGGCTGCCTGTGCCCACCCAACACCCTCAACCTAGAGAGGACCCTGCGGGGACGCCCGCCTTCCTTAGCCATCTGGAAATCTAGGCAGCAGAGGCTCCTGGTGATGGGGAAAGTTTCCTAGCGAGGTACTGGGACCAACAGGAGGAACATTTAAATGTTCATGTCCAGCTCAGCGCCTCGATTCCTGCAACGCTTCAGAGCAAAGGAAGAATCGCCCTTCTCCCCTCGGTGGCACCACCTCCCCCTCTGAACCCCTTTCCCCTCCCTTTGTTCCAGTCCCTCAGCTCCAAACCTTCTGCCCACACCCTCACCTCACCCCAACCCTCTAAGGGTTAGATTGGCTCGGCACAGGCTGGAGAAAAGTGAGGACTGGGCGGCCTGCGCATTTGGGTCCAGGTTAATTTTAGTCTCCAGGCTTTATCTCTTTTCATTTCTCCTCCCCCTTTACTCAGCAAGCACAAGCGCGGCCTGGCTGGTGATTTTAAATAGGCCCCCCGACCTTTCCACCGAGGTGTCCAGTTTCAGGGCTTCCTTTGGGAAGTGCTGAAGCGGAGGGAGGAGAAAGAGCGGAGGGAGGTGGGGCCGTGCGCAGGGCCCGCCCCAGGCCCCGGCTGCGCGGCTGTAACCCAAATTACTCTGTCTTGCAGGTCACCACTGGACGTATGAGGGTGAGAGCTGAACCTAAGGCCTACCCACACCCCTTTCACACTGGGACCTCTTCACCTGACAGGAAGATTTATGTCCTGTGGTTTCCTTGAGCTCCTCGCTTTCTCATCTCCCTGTGCCCTAGGTTTTGCATATGTGATCCTAGACCCGGTCCTAACCATCACACCCCCCACTCCTGATTCAGCAGAAAAGCCTCAGTCAGTCTGAGGGATGAGGAAGCTGGGGTGGAAAGGAAACCCGGCGGGAAAAGGAACTGTGAGCTTAGCTGCCACTTCACCATCTGGCTCTCCATCCTAATCAATCCTCCCCACCCCGGGGGTTAAGCCATCTTCGTGAAACAATGTTCAATTGTGTAGACAAAAATCCCAAAGCCCACCAGCAGTGAAACACTTCCCAGGAGGAAAACATTTTAAATTAAAATTTTCACAGACAACCAGGAGGTGGCGCCTGGCAAAGACACACTACCTGCCTTGGGAAGTTGAATCGCGGGGGCCCAGATGCTCCCCAGGAACTCTGAGGTCATTGTGTCCGGGCCTCTTCTTTTGTGCCATGCCAAAGAGTTCTCTGCTTTCTTCTTCTTCTTCTTCTTTTTTTTCCTGTTCCTCTCTGATAAGTATCCTCATTCCCAGGAAGTCTAATGTACACTTTACGATTTCTTTTTAGATAAGATAGGTAGGGGCTTTACGGGGATCATCAAAACATAAAACCTTCCTATAAGGGAAAAATAATTTGGAGGATGAAGAGACAATGAAAAAGGAAGTGACATCTGCAACGAGGCTTTGCTTTGCAGATCAATCACGGGGGATAGAAGTGCATGGCAGGCTCCTGCCTCTGCCAGGCGCTGGTGATCCAGCACACCCCCTATTCTGTCCTTTTGGCTTTTATCCTGCACCCGTGTTTACCTTCTGCATCCTTTGTTTTGGCTACTTGTGCTACTTGGCAGGAGCAAGGAGGGCAGAGGGAGCTCAAACCGGAGCATCCTCCTGGCTGGAGACTGGGGAAGGGTATGAAGTTGAGAAAGAGATTTCAGTGTCTGGCTGGAAATTATCTGTGGGTTTCACATTCCCTAATGAGGGAATTAGGGTGTACATTCCGATCGGGATTTCCAGTCCCGTGGAGAGCAGGCACCAGCCCACATTCCTGATACACAGCAGCCTCCAAGCGCCGCTCGCCCAACTCCCAGGTGGCAGGTTTCACTCGGTCCCACTCGTCCTGCTCAGCCCTTTGTTGGGCAGGAGGGAAGACCCTGGGCCCCTCTTCCAACTGGGTCACATGGTCTCTCTCTGTTCCCTCCCCTCCCTTTCTCTGGAGTCCGCCTTTTTTTTTTTTNGCGGCTGCTGGCCGCTCACGCTGGCTGCTGGCTACACACGGCAGTCCATGGCAACCCACTGCCACAGGGGCTGCAGCCTACACTGTCGCCGGCGACTCACAGCAGCCCAGCTCCAGGTTGAGCTGTTGTTCAGCATCTTAGCTGTGGAGGGCAGTGTCACCGGCCCTCATATGTGGGATTCGAACCGGGGCCCTCTGGCGTCCCAAGCCAGTTCTTAACCATCGCGCCACTCGGCCGGCCCCGTTGATTTTTTAGTGTGGTCCCTCAGACTGATACCATCAGCATCACCTGGTGACCTGTTAGAAATGCAAATCTCTGTACATAGCCCAGACCTACGGAATCAGAAACTGTGGAGGGGGAGGCCCTGAAATCTGTATTTTAACACTCTTTCTTGTTAAAGAAACATGGACGTTTGAGAAGCAGCGTTACAGGAGAAAGTTCAATGGCACCTGTGTCCTTGACCTGGTTCAGATTGGCAGCGATCTGACCAGCCACAGGAGAATCCCTAAATCCCTCAAAACTCAGTCTTTACAGGGTAAACAAGGGAGTTGGAATGGTGCCTGAGGACCCTTCTGGTCTAAAATTCTGTGAAATACCAAAGGTAGAAAGAAAGTAAATAAATGTCCCAATGACTAGATTCATTCATTCATTCAGCAAATATTTATGTACCAGGCAGTGTTCTGGGCATAGAATCAAAGCATGACACAAAAATCACTCCTTTTTAATTAAATTTGCAACATTTCAGGCCACAAACTCTTATCTGTCCTCTGTCTATAAGATTCTCATGCTGCATCTGTCCCGAAATGTGAACCAGAAAACTGAGAAAATGATCCAGAGTTCTGACCACTCCCTCCCCCCAAATTAATACTTCGACTTTAATTCTTGGAAGCTTTTGTATTGGCTTAGGGGGCATCAGTACCGATGTGTTAGAAAACAATCGTGGGGTGATAAATGCGATTATCAAGTTAGAATACCTCTGGGTCTACTTTACTTCGTGGCACAAAGTTGCTTGCACTTTTAGGAAATCGGATTCCACCTAATTCCGTCTCCTCCTTGGTTCTCTCTTCTCAGCAATTCATTACCACCTGTGCCGCCTGAGGACATTCCTGTGTGTTGACCATTCTTTCCTTGCCATCTGCCTCCCTCCCTCCCTGAAATCACATATACGCCACCACACAAACTCAGGGAAATGCGTGGGTTCCTATAAGGTGATTTTAGACTGATTGGGATATTGAGTGAGTCTAAATCCCCTTTTTCAAAAGGACCTTTTAAGAAAAAGCAAACCCCAAAGTCACCGCGCTTGGACACTTTTGATTCTGACCCGTTCACATGTCACTGCCTTTGAAAGGACAGGAGATGGCGCCAGAAGGCAGCGGGATGCCTTGGTTTTTGTAGGGTTTTAGCCACACGGTGGGTAAAAAATGGACTGGAGAGAGAGAGGTAGGAATTAAAACAAAGGTGCCCGAGTTTGAGTAGCAATTAAGGTGGAGGAGAGGGAAAGAGCGGTGTCTTTTTTTTTTTAAACATATAAGAGTCCTCTTGACACCTACCCAAATCGGCCTGGTGACAACAGGAACATCCACAGTAGAGCCAGAGATCAAACTAAAGTCAAATCTCTGGGGAACACTGCTGGCCTCCCTTCTCCCTCTCCTAGAAACCAGGGCCTTTGTCCATTTGGAGGGCCTGAACGGGCTGCTCAGAAGTGGGAACGCGCTCAGCGGGGGTTAAGCCATCTTCGTGAAACAATGTTCAATTGTGTAGACAAAAATCCCAAAGCCCACCAGCAGTGAAACACTTCCCAGGAGGAAAACATTTTAAATTAAAATTTTCACAGACAACCAGGAGGTGGCGCCTGGCAAAGACACACTACCTGCCTTGGGAAGTTGAATCGCGGGGGCCCAGATGCTCCCCAGGAACTCTGAGGTCATTGTGTCCGGGCCTCTTCTTTTGTGCCATGCCAAAGAGTTCTCTGCTTTCTTCTTCTTCTTCTTCTTTTTTTTCCTGTTCCTCTCTGATAAGTATCCTCATTCCCAGGAAGTCTAATGTACACTTTACGATTTCTTTTTAGATAAGATAGGTAGGGGCTTTACGGGGATCATCAAAACATAAAACCTTCCTATAAGGGAAAAATAATTTGGAGGATGAAGAGACAATGAAAAAGGAAGTGACATCTGCAACGAGGCTTTGCTTTGCAGATCAATCACGGGGGATAGAAGTGCATGGCAGGCTCCTGCCTCTGCCAGGCGCTGGTGATCCAGCACACCCCCTATTCTGTCCTTTTGGCTTTTATCCTGCACCCGTGTTTACCTTCTGCATCCTTTGTTTTGGCTACTTGTGCTACTTGGCAGGAGCAAGGAGGGCAGAGGGAGCTCAAACCGGAGCATCCTCCTGGCTGGAGACTGGGGAAGGGTATGGAGTTGAGAAAGAGATTTCAGTGTCTGGCTGGAAATTATCTGTGGGTTTCACATTCCCTAATGAGGGAATTAGGGTGTACATTCCGATCGGGATTTCCAGTCCCGTGGAGAGCAGGCACCAGCCCACATTCCTGATACACAGCAGCCTCCAAGCGCCGCTCGCCCAACTCCCAGGTGGCAGGTTTCACTCGGTCCCACTCGTCCTGCTCAGCCCTTTGTTGGGCAGGAGGGAAGACCCTGGGCCCCTCTTCCAACTGGGTCACATGGTCTCTCTCTGTTCCCTCCCCTCCCTTTCTCTGGAGTCCGCCTTTTTTTTTTTTTTTTGGTAGTGAATGTTTCTAAGGTCTCCCCATCTCTCCTCCTGCCCTGGCCTCCCTGCCAGGGGTGAGTGTCCTCTTCAGTGACAAAAGCCGCCCTA